GGGACAGAGGTATAAACTGGGTCTGTCCAGGGCAAACCACAAAGTGTAGTCACCAGCTTGTGACTCCCCACATTGATTTGGAGACCCACAGTGTGAATAGCACTGCCTGAGCTGTGCCAAGGTGGCCCTCTCAGTGTGTTTCCGTGACTTCAGTCTTTTCTGTCTTGTAGGTTTGAACGGTTCCGAACAGGCCAGACTGCCAAGGTAAGAGACTTCTCATTTACTGTGACTAGATTGTGCCCAGGTCAATGGGAAGAAGGCCTGTTCTCCTCAACTCCTTCTCCAGATGTCCTGGACAGGATGATATGTTCTTATCCAGGCTCCTAGAGAAGCCCCCTTCTAACATTTTATGTCACTGCCCCTTTAAAGTAAATAAGGCCATACCACCAACTGAGACCCAAGGGTCTTTCCAACCTGCCAGGGGGTCCAGTAGAGCTAGACGTAAAACTCATGGCAACCAGGGCCCTGGTGACAGATCTGGGCAGAGCATGTGAGCTCAGGGCTTTGGGGCAGAGAGCGAGCCTGCAGGGGTGGGGACAAAACTGCAGGGGTGGAGAGCAAGGCTGCAGGCAGAAAGGATGATCTACACGGCATCTCATCCCCTCCAGGCCCCAAGTGAAGCCGAGCCAGCAGCTGACCTGATTGACATGGGCCCTGGCCCAGCAGCCCCCAGCCAACTCTCGTCCCAGCTGGCAGGAATGAGTAAGTGGAGTGTGTGGGGCTCCAGCTGGGGGTACATTCTGGTGCTGTGGATGCCCTGCAGTTCTGGGGTACCCTCCTGTTACACAGGGGGAGCTGGAGTGCCAACAGCAGAAGGTTGGCCGCCTCGCAAAGGTCCCATGCTGTCTTGCTCAGAGTAGGGTACTCAGGACAAAATGCAGGTGTTCTCACTCCCTGCCCTACAATTCCAAGCCCACCTGGATCTCAGAAATCCCTCCGTTCTGTGATTGCCCCATCCTGTGACTGGGTTTGATCATCTAGGTGACCTTGGGCAGGTTACTCCCACTCTGTGTGCCTGCTCCCTCCTCCGCAGTGTCGGGTAGCAATGGGACCTTCCTCGTAGGGTGTTAGGAGGATTGGACAAGTAATCCATGGAAAGTGCTCAGACAGGGCCAGGCCCAGGCTGCGCCCTTAGTGATGTTGGCCATCGTCGTTGACGTCACTATGTCCCGTCACTGGCTACCTGCTTCATGTCAAGCGCTCAGAGAGACTTGAGTGGTGATTTTGAATCACTGCTACTGTCGTTTCTGAAAAATCAGCACCTGGTCCCTATCCTGTTGTTTGGAGGCCCTGGTGGTATAAACTGTTAACATGCTCAGCTGCTGACTAAAAAGTTGGAGGTTCTACAACACCCAGAGGTCCCTCAGAAGAAAGACCTGGTGATCTACTTCTGAAAAGTCAGCCGTAAACCCTGTGGAGCACAGTTCTGCTCTGACACACCTGGGGTCGCCAGGAGTTGGAGTCAACTGGGTGGTAACTGCGTTGGTCAGTTGGTTGGTTGATTTACCAGACACAGCAGCCCTGGGAGAGGTGACTGTCCCCTCCTTGGCAATTAGGAAACTAAAGCTGAAGAGCAAGTGACTTGCCAAAGGTTCCACAGCCAGCGGGAGGCCTGCCTGCCTGTGCCCCACTGCTCTGCCCTCACCCCTAACCACCTCTCCAGCACCAGGCCCTGGCGGGGAGCATTGTGGTGTACAAGGCTGGCGGACAGGCCTTCACCTGGGCCTTTCTGCCCCTGCAGACCTGGGCTCCAGCAGTGTGCGGGCTGGCCTGCAGTCTCTGGATGCCTCTGGCCGACTGGAAGACGAGTTTGACATGTTCGCACTGACCCGGGGCAGTTCACTGGCCGACCAACGGAAAGAGTGAGTGGCTGCCTCCCTGGCCCTGGGGGGACTGTGGTTCATCCTGGGGAGCCCCTGTCAGAGCCTCTGCCTGCATCCCTGCGTCAGTCCAGCATGACCCCAAGGGCCACTCCAAGCTCCCCTGCTCCCAAGTGACAGGCTGTATGCCCCGTCGGCCACAGCAGTGATGGGTGGGGAAGGGGGCCCTGCGTACTTATATAACGTGTCCTCACCTGACCCAGTCAGAGGCAGAAACTGAGGCACTAAGAGGCTGGGTCATGTGTGGCCAATACAGACAGTGCTAGGTTGGAAGCCCAGGGTTGTCTGGTTCCCAAACACAGTGTCTGCATCCCCACCCCAGCTCCCATTTCTCTGTATGCCGTGTGCCCATTGGTCTAGGGGCAGGCAGGGAAAGTTCTGGTAAGTCCCCAGGGACTTGTCCCGCCAGGCTTCTTAGGGGGGACAGTTGGCCTGGTGTTTTTTCAGCCCTTTGCTTCTGGCTCCCAGCCAAGAATCTTACAGCCAAAGAAAGCTCTGGGGTGAGAGGCCCTTATCTGGTCCCATCTTAGAAAACTCCAATGAGGACCTTCAGAGAGTTTGAGGGTCCCTCTTCACTCCCTACCCTGTGTAGGCACATCCAGGTCAAATCTAACAGTCCGCAGCCCGGCTTCTTGTGGGCCTGTGCACTGACAGTAGCCAGCCCTGAGCTCTGTGCTGTGTCTTTAGTCCAGGGCAGAGTCTGTCCGCCCCAGGCCAGGTGCCCCTGGGACCAGCAGCTCATGGTTGCTTTGGAGTTAGGGACGCCACCTATGCAGATGAAGGCTAATGAGTCTGGTGGGACTTGCAGCCAGAAGGATGGCCGGTCTGCTGAGGCCCCAGCAGGCAGCTCTGCTGGCCACACTGGAGTGGCTTCTGGCCTGGCTTACCAGCCTGGCAGGAGGTTGGCTGTCCTTAGACACTCATTTGGTGAGCATTCACACTGGGCCCTGGGGGTCACAGGAAGGGAAAAGTGAAACTTTCTCTTCAGGGCCTTTGGTCTCATAGGAGAGTGATGTGCGAGTGGACCATCTCTCTGCAGAGCTAAGAGCTGTCCTAGAGGGATGCACCAGGCTCTGTAGACGCACAGAGGTGACAGGCAGCTGCAGGGGACAGTCAAGCCGGGGCCAGGGGGGCTGTTGGGTAAGCCCTTTCAGGCCGTAGGAGGAACAGTGTGTGCAAAGGCTCAGAGGCAGGAGGGCGTGAGACACTGGGGTGGGACGGGTGGGACCTGGCTCCTACCAGGATGTGTGCGTGCATAAGAAAGGGGAGTGGGGTGCTGGGATGAGGCAGGTGTGTCCTGGCTCCCACACGGGGCGCATGCATGCATAGGGAAAGGGAGTGGGGTGCTG